GGCCGCCGGGAGCTGCAGCAGCTGCGGGCCGAGCGCGGCGGCCTGCGGGAGCTACGGGCGGCGCTGGAGCAGAGGCTGCAGGGCGGCTGGCAGGAGCGGCTGCGGGCCACCGAGAAGTTCCAGGTGACCGGGGAGGGTCGGGGAGCCGCGCAGGCCCCGTGGGGCCAGGGGCCCGGGAGGGCGGTGCGGGGTGCGGCTGCCCATTCAGGGGCCGCTTCTAGAAAGCCCGTAGTGGTGCCGGAGGCCCTTGACTCTCCCAACTTTGTCTAGAGTCGGGTGGGGATGGCGGGCTTCGGAGCCGTGCGGAAGAGCACACCCCTGGCCGGCTTCCTCACTGGCCGGGGCCGCGGGCTTGTCCCCGCCTCTGCTGTCGCTCCGAAGATGCGCGGGCCACCACTCCCAGCCCCCAGCTCCCCCAGCGCTGAGTCGGCCCCGTTCCTAGCCGCCCTCCTCCCCCTCGACAGGAGGGAGTCAGGGGCCCTCGAGGCGCGGCCACCAACCGGCCCTACTCCCTTGTCCCAGCTTCTCAGCTCCCCCCAGCACATTCCAGAAGCCGGGACAGCTGCTCCCCCTCACCCCGCGCAGATGGGACCAGCAGCTGGGAAAACAGCCTCCCGCCTGGGCCAGACAGAGGTCTGGCCACGGCCACCTCCCACCCCTCCTCTGTGAGGAGAAAGATTCCAGAACATGTGGGAAGTGGAGGGGGTGGGGGCCTGGTGTGAGGACCGACCAGGAGACAGTGACTGGGACCGTGCTCCGGGCCTCTTGATTAATCGTTTTTCCTTCTGCGTTCACTTTCTTTCCCTCTCCTCTCTGTAAGCATCTCCTCTCCTCCCTCACCTCCCCCTCCTGTGGGAGCTGAAGTCCCGTTTGCGCTCCGCATCTTCAGAGAAGGAGCCGGCCCCTGGGGGAGCCCGGGAGGGCCATCAGCCTCATCTCCGGGGCTCCAGAGGGGGCGCTCCGGGCAGGACGGAGGGGGTAGAGGCAGGAGTCGGTCAGGGAGCAGGCTAGTTAGTGGGGGGCCGGCCCTTCACGGGCTGCCTCCCCTTGTTCTGCAGCTGGTGGTGGATGCCCTGGAGCAGGAGAAGCAGGGCCTGCAGAGCCAGATTGCCCGGGTCCTGGAAGGTCGACGGCAGCTGGAGCACCTCCAGATGTCCCTCAGCCTGGAGGTGGCCACATACAGGTATGGGTTCGTTGGGCCCACCCAGGTGCAAGGATGCACACGCCCTTGCAGGCCGAGCTCCGCCCAAGGAGCCCAGAGCCATGGGTGGTGGCCACTGGGCTACCGCTAGGTTCTGTGACTCTGGGCTGATTCCTACCGCACCAGGACGGGTTCCACCCGAGCCCACCTGTTCCGCCGTGGGTTCGGGACCAAAATAGTCTCCTGTGCCTGGGAAATCTCCCAAGGAGAGGCGAGGCTGCTGAGTGGGGCGGCCTCAGGAGAGACAGCTGGACACACGTGGGGCCTCTCCATCCAGAGCCCTGCCAAGGGGCTGAAAAGCCAAAGTGTGTATGTGTGTGTGTGTGTGTGTGTGTGCACGCGCGCGTGCGCGCACGCACTCATGTTGAGGCGATGATGTCCTTGGGCAGCCCCACAAAGGAGAAATTGCAGGTTGGGGGTGGGGCACCTGACCCGGGCCTCGGTCTCCTTGTCTGGAGATGGGAGATGCGGGGGGTGACATCCAAGGCCCTTCCATCCTGAATGTCATGGGCCTGACTCCCCTCGAGCCCTAGCGCCCTGGCTGTGCCCAGCCCTTCTGCTGCTCACATTTCCTGTTGGCTCCAGAAAGGCTGAGACTGAGCAAGTGCTGCCTCTCTCAAAGCCACAGTCTCTTCTGGGAAATTGGCCTGTCCGGCTGAGGACCCAGTGATGGAGCCTGAGGACGGGGCTTTGCCACAGGGTGGGGGCTGGGGCTGGGCATGCAATGAGGACAGGACCCGGAGAACTCAAAGGCCAACTAAGACAGCGGCCCCGGGACAGGATCAGGAGGGCAGGGGAGGCAGGGCCCTGAGAGGGAAGGTCAGTGAGGGTGTTGGGCTGAGGAAGAGGGCACTGTACCTCCACGGGGCACAGAGCTCAGAGAGCAGGTGCCCCGTCAGCAAGGACAGAGGTGAGACCATGGCAAACACTAAGCAGACTCAGAGTCCTTGAGAGGAGCAGCATGTTCTGCATCACCCCTCCCCCTCTCCGTCCCCTCCTATTCCCCGTGGGGCACGGAGGCAGGGTCATGGACACAAAGACCTCCATTGCCCCGAAAGGCTTGGGATCCAGAGTACTTAGAGGTCCCAGGATGAAGGCCTTGACCCCCAATCAAACCACTCAGGCGAAGGGTCTGGGCAGGCTTAACCACTGGTTTTTGAGGCATGAAAAGGATTTGGAGAGAGAGAGCGGAATTCATTTGCTTTTGTCTGTGACCAGCTTTGGGGCCCCTGGGGGAGGAGGGAGGCTATCCCATGGGAACGGCCTGAGCATTCCCACTCCCCTCCCCAAGCCCCCTACTCAGACCCTCCGGAGGGCACTGTGCACAAAGGCAGCAATTAGCATGAGAATGGGCCCCACAGGATGGATGAGATCACTGGGGGGGGGGCTGTGTGGGTGTGTGCGCACTGTGTGGGAATCTGCCCTGTGTCCCAAGTAAGCGTGTGATGCTGTGGGGTGTGTCCATGGGACACCCCGGGTGCAGCCAAGTGTAATCCCACGCGTGGCCTTGTGCTGCAGTGGAAATGAAGAGGAATCGGGCAGGGCCAGGGACACAGGCTCAGCCGAGTCCTCCCTGGCTGGCTTGCCAGAGGCCTGCGGGCGGGTGGCTGACCCAGCATTTCCTCCCTCATCCGCAGGACCCTCCTAGAGGCCGAGAACTCCCGGCTGCAGACCCCCGGCAGCGCTTCCAAGGCTTTCCTCAGCTGCCAGGGTAAGAGGAGGGGCCAGACCCTCCCCCCCACTCTCTCCTTCTTTGCCCTTTATACCCCAGAGTGATTCCTCTCCTGGGAGACCCAGTCTAGGTCTTGACTCCTTGGCCTCCTGTAGCAGTGAGTGTACTCTCCGCCCAGCCCGTGGAAGGTGGGGGCAGGGCTCATGGGCGCTCTTGCCAGAAGTGGTAGCTGCTTTGAAGCTCCGGGCCACCGCCAGTCCCTACTGACGCTGTTTCTTCCCCTCTGCCTTTCCAGACCCTAAGCTGGAGCTGCATTTCCCTGGGACCCCAGAGGGCCAGCATCTGGGACCTTTGCTCACTGCCCTGAGCCCTACTTCCCTCTCCTTGCCCTTGCCTGATACCCTTGAGACACCAGTGCCAGGCTTTCTGAAGAGCCAAGAATTCCTCCAGGCCCGTACCCCAACCTTGGCCAGCACCCCTATCCCGCCCACACTTCTGGCTCCCTGTGCCATTACAGATACAGAGATCAGAGCCCAGGATGCCCCGCTCTCCCTGCTCCAGCCACAGATTGGGAGGCAGCAGGTTCCAGAGGCCCTGCACTCTAAAGCCAAGGTAGCCATCCCTTCCAGCATCCTGCCAGGACCAGAGGAGCCTGGAGGCGAGCAACAAGAGGCCAGTACTGGCCAGTCCCCTGAGGATCATACCTCCTTGGCCCCACCCCTCAGCCCTGACCCCTGTAGTTTAGAGGCCAAAGGTAGAGAACCCGGTGGGTCTGGAATGGCCAGCAGATTCCAGGAGGAAGGTGAAGGGCAAATCTGGGGGCTGGCAGAGAAAGAAATGGCCATAGAGGTAAAAATGGTGAACAGTTTGCAGCAGGAAACATGGCAAGAAGATGGGGATCTGAACATGAAGGAAATCCAGGACTCCCAGGGTCCTTTGGAAAAAGAAACTCTGAAGTCTATGGAAGAGGAAATTCAAGAGCCACTGATGTCTCTGGAAAAACAGAGCCATGAGGCACTGAGATCTCTAGAGAAGGAGAATCCAGAATCTCTGAGGTCTTTAGAAGAAGAGAGTTTAGACACATCAAAAGGTCTAGAAAAGGAGAATCAAGAGCTATTGATGTCTTTAGAAGAGAAGGATGCAGAAGTAGTGAGACCTCTAGAAAAAGAGACTCTAGGACTACTTAAACCTGTAGGAAAAGAGGACCCACAGACATTGCAATCTCTAGAAAAGGAGAATCAAGAACCAATGAGGTCTCTTGAAAGTAATCTAGAGACATTTTTATATCCAGAAAAGGAAAATCAAGAGTTAGTAAGGTCTCTAGAAGAGAACTTTGAGTCAAAAAGAGATTTAGAAAAGGAGACTCAGAAGCCACTGAGGTCTCTAGAAGATGAGAATCTAGAAAACTTAAGACTACTAGAAAAAGAGAACCAAGAGTCTCTGAACTCTCTAGAAGATGAGAAGCATAAGACCTTGAGACCTGTAGAAAAAGAGAACCAGGAACCACTGAGGTCTCTAGAAGAAGAAGACAAAGAGACATTGAGGCTTCTAGAAAAAGAGAACCAAAGGTCCTTGAGGTCCCTAGAAGAAGAGGAGCAGGAGACAGTGAGACCTCTAGAAGAAGACAACCAGGAGCCAGTGAGGTCTCTAGAAGATGAGAACCAGGAGACATTGGGACCTCTAGAAAAAGAGAACCAGAGGTCCTTGAGGTCTCTAGAAGAAGAGGACCAGGAGACAATGAGACCTCCAGAAGAAGAGAACCAGGAGCCAGTGGGGTCTCTAGTAGAAGACCTGGAAACACTGAGACTTCTAGAAAAAGAGAACCAGGAGCCAGTGAAGTCTCTAGAAGATGAGAATCAGGAGACATTGGGACCTCTAGAAAAAGAGAACCAGAGGTCCTTGAGGTCTCTAGAAGAAGGCCAGGAGACATTGAGGCCTCTAGAAAAAGAGAACCAGGAGCCAGTGAAGTCTCTAGAAGAGGAAAACCAGGAGACATTGGGATCTCTAGAAAAAGAAAACCAGGAGCCAGTGGGGTCTCTAGAAGAAGAAGGCCAGGAGACATTGAGGCCTCTAGAAAAAGAGAACCAGGAGTCAATGAAGTTTCTAGAAGATGAAAACCAGGAGACATTGAGATCTCTAGAAAAAGAGAACCAGGAGCCAGGGGAGTCTCTAGTAGAAGAAGACAAGGCAACATTGAGACCTCTAGAAAAAGTGAAACCAGAGCCACACATGTCTCTTGGAAAAGACCAGAAGATATTTAGACCTCTTGAAAATGAGAATCAACAGTTATTAAGGTTCCTAAAAGAAGAGAATGTAGAGACAATGAGATCTTCAGAAACTGAGAATCCAGAGTCACTAAAGTCTGCAAGAGAAGACTTGGGAATATTGAAATCTCTAGAAACTCAAGAGTCACTGTGGTCTCCAGAAGAAATGAATCAGGAGACAATGAAACCTCTAGAAAAGGAAATTCAAGAAGCACTGGACTCTGTGGAAGATGACCGAGAGACACTGAGACCCCTAGATAAGGGGGACCAGGAATCACTGAGATCTCTGGGAGGGTGGAACCTAGAGAATCTGAGACCTCTGGAAGAGCTAGGTCAGGAAAGTCAAAGGAACCTGACCGAGGAAGAGACCCCCGAGCAGATGGAGAATCCAGAGTCTCCGAGGTCTTTGGAAGAGGAAGGACCGGAGTTGCCACTGTCTGCCAACCAGCAGGGGTGGGAAGATGTGGTGGGGGACCGAGAATTGGAGCAGGATTTGCCCCCTGGCAGGGCGGCAGCGGGCCAGGAGGCTGAGGCAAAGCTGGACGTGAGGGAGTGGGCTGGCTTCGCCGGGAAGGAGTCTGTGGGGCATGGACAGCTGCGGCTGGTGGCCGCAGGGGAGGTCTGGAGCACAGGAGAGGGGCACCCAGGGAGCCCTGAGCCCAAAGAGCAGAGGGTCCCAGTTGAGGGAGCCAGTGGGGAGGGAGGCACTGAGGGCTTCCGGGACCCCGAAGGGCAGCCAGAGCAAGTGGGGGTGCCAGGCCTCCAAGCTCCCCAGGGAGTGTCAGAGGTGAGAGAGCCGGTGTTGGAAGGTAGAGATGAGTCCCTGGGGGGTGGCCAGGCCTCCCCAGAGGTCACTTCGGGGTTAGAGACAGCTGTGGGCAAGTCTGCTGCGGGAAGCCGGCAGGGACCAGAGCAGGAGGTGGTGGGGCTGGAGGACCCAGGCCCCCCGGCCAGAGAGGAGAGGGAGGCGTCACCCATGGGCGAGGAAGGTTTGCAGGCAGAGAGGATGCAGGGTTTGGAAGGGCCCAGAAAGGACCCAGAGGAGGCAGCTGCTCTGGACCCAGAGCTTTCCACCCCGTCCAGGAAGAGCACAGACCCCCTGCAGCCTCCCAGGGGCTGGGAGGAGGCAGAGCCGGGGGCCCCGTGGGGAGCAGAGGCGGGGCTCCCCGCTGAGACCAAGTGCCCCTCTCACAGTGGAAGCAGTAGGGGTACCCCTCAGCCCAGGCCCCTGGGGTCAGAGGAAGCAGGAAAAGATGCAGAGCTAGTGCTGGGGCCCCCCAGCCCAAGGCCCACTGAGCCCCGGGCGCCCGCCCCAATCCCTGGAGATGCCCCTGGGCTCGAGCTCCTGGCTGAGGGGAGCCAGGAGGCTGGCTGGGGGCTGGAGGGCAGTGCAGAGGCTCTGGGAAGGCTGGAGGGGGAGCAGGAGAAATTGGGTTCTGAGGGGAGCCCTGAGGATCTCCAGGAGGAGGGGGAGGAGAACAGAGAAGACAGCGAGGCTGATGAGCTTGGGGAGACTCTTCCTGACTCCACTCCCCTGGGCCTCTATCTCCGGTCCCCAGCCTCCCCCAAGTGGGACCTGGTTGGAGAGCAGAGGCCCTCCCCTCAAGGGGAGGCCAGAGAGGAAGGCTGGGATCCTTCTGTTCTGGCCCCTGAGGGCTGTGGGGCTCAGCCTGGGGAAGAGGAGGAGGAATGTGGTCAGGACTCTGACTTGTCGGAGGAGTTTGAGGACCTGGAGACCGAGGGTTCTCTCCTTCCCAGCATCCCCGGCGAGGCTGTGGAACCTCCAGGCCAAGTGCCTCAGCTGCTGCTGGAGCCTGCAGCCTGGGACAGGGATGGGGAGTCCGATGGGTTTGCAGATGAGGAAGAGAGTGGGGAGGACGGAGAGGAAGACAGAGAGGAAGAAGATGGGAGGGAGTCGGGGGCTGACCAGTGGGGCCCAGGGTCCTCTGTGGGCCCCCTCCCGGCCCTGAGTGGCCCTCAGAGAGGGAACTTCCTGGGGGCTGAGACCACAGATGGCAGCGTCCCCTGGGATGATGGCCTGAGGGGCATGGCAGCCGATGTTGGCATGACTGCCCTGGAGACTAAGTCCCAGAACAGCACGGAGCCCTCGGGCTCGGACGAGGAATCTGGCCCTGTTCCCTTGGAGAGGGAGGACCAGGTCCCCGGCCCTCTGGGAACCCTCAGTGGGGTGGGAGACATGGGCCTGGGAGTGGGGGACAGCCTGGGTGTCAATGGCCAGGGCCCCAGCCTGAAGGAGGAGTTAGAGCGTGTGAATGGGGGGGTGTTAAACGGGCTGCAGCAGTCCGAGGGAGGAGGGCAGGGGAAACTGGGGGGCCCTGAGGCGGACCAGGGCAGCCCCTTGGAAGAGGAGGAGGACGAGGGGAGTGCCCTGAAGGCCCCTTGGGCAGGACCTCCTCTTCACCTTGGCGTGGGCCAGTTCCTGAAGTTCACTCCAAGGGAAGGAGATGTCGACTCGTGGTCCTCAGGGGAGGACTAGGGAGAGCTCCTCCCTCGCTGAGGACTCGGGGTGTGTGTGTGTGTGTGTGTGTGTGCGCACGTGTCAGGGGGGTCCCTCAGCCCCCTCCCTGCTCAGAGGCAGCACCCTTAAGTTATGATCCCTTGACCTGTGGCTTCTGTCCCAGAGGCTGGCCGGCCAAGGTGAAGCAGGGTGTGGTATGGGGGTGCGTCCCAAGAACGGAGGCTCCAGAATGCAACCCAGCCCCTCCGACCCTGCTGTCCCATGAGGCTTCAGCCAGCTGAACCACTGTAGGACTAGGCCCCTTTCCTCCCACACCCCTTCTCCCCCTCCTGCCATCTGGAAAGGGCTCCTCCCAGGGGAGGGGGCTGTGGTGGTCCTCACCACAGGGCTCACCAGCCCTGTCCCCCCTCGCTGCACCCTCTCAGGGTGTCTGGCCACTGGGTGAGGGTGTGCTCCCAGGTCCTGACCCCCGTATTCCTGCCATGTTGTGTCTGGCTCATCCCTGCCTGAATAAAGTAGTTCTTCCGCCCCCGAAGTCTGGACTTTTCCTTCCCCAGTGTGGGGGCTCCTCAGGGCCGGGCGGAGTAGAGGAGACAGGGTGACTGGGGAAGAAGCTAATGTTGGGGAGGGGCTGCCTCTGAGGAGAGAAGGAACTGGAAGGCCTCATGGGGCCCGGGGAGGGCTGGGTGGCAGTCCAGGTGACCCCAGTGCTGGCAGAAGTCAGGCCCATCATCATCTCTGCCCACAGCGCTGATGACAGGGATTAGGCCTGGGGCCACCCCACCTTGTGCATCCTCCCCGCTCCCCCGGCCCCTCAGTGCCGCCAGGATAATGAGCCCCTTGCCTCCAAACCCAAACAGTCATCTGGCCTGCAATGTTGGCTCCAAGTGGCTGGGTCAGAGCAGGATGAGGGAGGCTGTGTGGCCTCTGGTCAGTGTTTAACCTCTCTGGACCTCAGACTCAGTCGGAGTGAGGGGCGCTGGGCTGGGTGACGGGGAAGGGGTTGGGGGGTGCCTTGGGGGCAGGAAGAGCAAGAGGAGGCTGGGGAAGGCCGGGGCGGGGGGGCTGCAGCTTAGATCTTCAGTGGGACTTGCCTCCCGAAGATGGGATGAGGCCGTGAGGTGGGGGTAAACCGAAGTTGTCAGGTGTGAAGGAGCCAGGGGCTGTGCTGCCAACTGGGGTTCGGCCTGGGGTCCCCCCAGCCACAGCTTCTCCCCGCCCCCACCTCTCTCCCCAGGAGTGCTCCGGGTCCCTGTGAGGGGCAGGGAGAGACCAGGGGTTCCCAGGTTAGGTGGGGCCTGAGGCCTTGAAGTCACGATACCCAGAGAGAAACTATTCCTGGCTCAGCTCCGCGGGAAGGAAGGGCAGGCAGCCCCTCCAAGTGTCCGGCTGGGGGCGGGGTAGGGGCGACCGAACAAACGTTCCACGTTTGGAGGCCAGCCCAAGTCCGGGAGCAGGCTCTTCCTCTCCTCAGGCCCAAGGCTGAAGGCAGGGGGACAATGAGAGGATGGAACCCCAGCCCCAGTCCTAGCCCCGCTGGCTTGCACTCGGGTCCTCTGGCCAAAGAGGGGTGGACGGACAGGAGGCGCCCCGAGAGACTCCCGCCGTCTCCCTCTCCACTCAGGAGTCTCTGTCTTGGGCGCCGAGGCCCTCATGTCACACACACCCCTGCCCTTGGGTGCAGGATCCTGTCTGTCCCCACCCTTCTGGCAGCCCAAGGCCCCCGCTCTCCTTCCTGTACCCACTGCTGGCAAGGCCTGGTCTGATCCCGCCAGCCCGCCGGGCCCGGGGCCCAGCACTTCAGCATCCAGGCAAGTAGGGCCCACCCGCTGCCCCTCTTCATGGGACAGAGGAGCCCTGTGCTTGATTTCCCCAGGCCCTCGGGCACCACCGCCTGGGCCAGGGGCCAAGGACAGAGGCCACGCCAAGCAGTCCTTCCCTGTCCCCGGGTGTCCCTCCTGCCCCCTGATGCTGGGATCCCTGGTCCCCTACAGAGTCACCCCCACAGTCCTGAACAGGGGGAAGGATGTGAGTTAGAGGTCAGGACTTCCGGAAAGGGGGTAAGTAGTGGAAGGTGTGTTCTCTTTGGAAATGGCAGTCTGTCGATGCAGCAAGAGAAATGAAGGCTGGACAGTAACAGCGCCATTCCGGGAGTGATAAGAGGAGTGTCACTTTTCAACAGATATTTGCTGAGCACCTACTATGTGTTGTCACTGTGCAGACACTGAGAATCCAGGGTTCCTTACCCCCTTCTAACTGAACAAGGGCTCCTGAATGGAAGTCACGTTTGAAGAGAGCCGAGGAGGAGGAGGTTGTGGGAGTGCAGAGCCGAGGGGCTGGGGAACCTCACCTGATCTGGGCTGGGGGGGGAGGGGGACGGGGAAGGAGGGGGAGGGAAAGGATCCTAGTCCGAGGGAGCAGCATGTGCAAAATCCTGGGGCAAGACCAGAGAGCCCAGGGGGTTGAGGGGCAGAGGTAAGGCGTGTGTGGCCAGAGGTGGAGGGTGAGGGGGAAGAAGGTTCGCAGGGAGGCTAAGGAGAGTCTGGGTCTCTGGGCTGAGGCCTTGCCAGGCGGCCGGGAAGTGTGCACGTCTTCCGGGGGGCGTGAGGAGCCTCTGATGGCTTGAAGCCACAGGTGGCAGGACCAGGTCTGCATTTTCAGTATAACCTGTGCTGGCCAGGATGGGCTTCGGGGAGGCTACTGCAGTGGTCCGAGCAGGGCCACTGGTGGCAGTGGGCACGAAGAGGACAGCAGTAAGGGAAGCAGGATCTCAGCTCTTGGGGGCCCACTGTGGGGGACGGAGGGGGTGTGGCAGCTGGAAGAAGGGGGTCCCGTCTTCTGAGCCGGAGAATCCGGAGGAGCTGCCTCGGAGTTCAGGAGAGAGGGCCAGGGTGGAGACAAGAGCAGGAGGGTGGGTGGCCTGGGGGTCACCCAGAGAGAGCCCAGGACAGAGCTCTCAGGTACCTACCCGCAGAGAGGCCACACTTGGGCAGGAGCCGCAGGAGAGGCCAGGGAGCGGGAGGGCCCCGGGGCCCGCAGCTCAGCGGACCCCGTCCTCTCAGAAAGTTCCAGGAGAGCATGGACTTTGTCCAGCCCAGGGTCTCTGGGGGCCCAGGGTGCTCAGCAAACAGGTAGGGAATGAATGAGGGCAGGAACTGTGATGAGGTCAGACGACAGGAAGCGTTTCGGAGGGTGGAGTCCCCAGAGGAGGGAGCGGACAGGCAGCACCCAACCCCCCAGCACCCCCCCAACACGAGGACAAGCGGGAGGTTATTCTGGGGCCTCTGCCGGGTAAATATAGCCTCGGAACGGGGTGGGGGCGGGGTGGGGGGCCGGAGGTGGCTTCCTCGGTTTGTATGGGGCACTTCCTTATAAGGCCATGCAGGCCGAGGCGCCAGAGGGTGAGGTCAGGGGCTGAGCGCTCCGTTCAGCCAGGCTGATGCTGTCCCTGCTCTGCCACCTCGGGGCCACCCGCTGGGTCTCCGAGGGAATCAAAGGCCTGGGCTTTGGGCTCGGGCCAAGGGAGCTCCGAGGGGGGCCTCTTAAAGGGCCATCGGGCTTCCTGCCGGCTGTGCGCGCCCAGTGGAGGGGTGGGGAGGGTGTCGTCCAGGGTCGTCTGAGAAGGCAGCGCTGGGGCCCCGCCACCTGAGGCTCCATGAGGCTGTGGCTCCCCGGGGTCTCACCTTACACCGCCCCCTGCTGGCTGCCCCTCTCGCTGGGGCCTCTTCAGATCAAACACTTAAGAGTTCATCCATTGCTTCCAAACGCCCTGGCCCCTCAGCTCCCTGCGCCCCCCTGCCCCTCCTGGGGGACCAGCTGCTGCCACTTGACCCTTTGGTGTCCCAGCTGCTGTGTCTGCAGTGGTATCCTTGGCAGGCAGGCAAGAAGGAATGTGGTTTAATTTCAGCTGGAATGTGCCCTCTGGGCTGCCCACAGCGAGGGGAGGGGACGGAGACCAAGCCCACCCGAGCCCAGGAAACCCAAGAAGACTCTGGGCTTGGGGACGGGCCCCCGGGTCCCCCGGGACCTGCTCCCACCCTGCAGCAGAGGCTCTGCTTGGGGGGAGACGGGTCCCACAGCGGGATGGGTCTCCCTGGGAGCTGGGGAAAGAGACGCTTCTTGTGAACGCAGCAGCGCGAGTGGGTAAAGAAAGGACCCAGGCGCCTGTTCCTAAGTCCGCGGGCCCACCTTAGAAAGACAGAAGAGTCTCAAGGGACTAAACCAGGAAGGGACTGAGTGAAGGAGGAGGGACAGAATGGCCTAAGGTGAGGCCCCCACCCCCCCACCCCCGATTCTGGGGCAGGAAGCAGAAGGAAACAGGGAGCTGTTTCCTGTCTCACATCCACGTCTCTGCTTCTGTCTCTGCTGGGGGGCCCCTTTCCAACCTAGCACCCCCACACCCAGATCACACTTGTCTCTTCTCCAGATTCCAGGAGCAATGGACCTGGCTCCTGCTTTCCCACGTCTTCCCCAGGCCCCATTCTTCCCGGGTCCCCAGGGTGGACGGCCCTCCTGTAACCTGACAATGGGAGGGGGCCCAGACCCCATAGGCCCCTCCAGTCTTGTCCAGGAGCCGCAAGCTCCCCTCCTCCAGCGCCATTCTCCCTGCCCACCCCCATGACTCAGCTGCAGCTCCAGAAATAAACCGAGGCAGATGCCGGGGGGCCACCATCGAGGAACCAGCTCTCAGCAGCTGTGGGCTCAGCTGCTGACAAGCCAGGGCCCCAGGGTCCCAGGAAGGGTTGCTGGAGGCTTCGGGGCTGGGGAGATGCCTCACTGGCTCTGGCCCCTCCCGGGCCCTTGCTCAGTCTTGCTCACCACTCACAAGCCCACTCTCTCTCCCTGTCTCCCCAGTTTTGCCTCTCCACATCTGCTACCTGCTTTTCTCCCTCTCCCTGGTTCCTTGCCAACTCCCAAATCCCTTGGTCTCTCCTGGGCTCCTTCCTTTTCTATTCACCTCACATGTCACAGAGAACTTCAGCTCACCTTGATGGGGAAACTGAGGCACAGAGAGATGTCCCCTGCCAATGCTCCTAAGAGTCCCTAGACACCTCTTGGGGTCCACAGAACACAGGTTAGGGGGCTGTGGACTGCTCCCCTTAAATGCCCCAGTCCCAAGTGGTCAACAGCCCTCCCTGGGCTAACAAGCTAGCCAAAGACTAAAGGAAAACCATCAGGGAATAAACACACAGGCTGCAGATCCACCCACTCAGACGATTAGAGGCCAGAGTCCTCCGGTGGGCGAGCGTCCTCACATTCTTCCTCCTTCTCCCTCTTTTCCTGTCTTTTCCCCCCTTCCCCACCCCTTCCTCGTGCTCTGCTGCTGAGTCTTTCAGTTCTTCCTTCCCAGGAGGAAGCCGGCTGCTTTGTAGCAGGCGGAGTGGAAGTGAGAGTGGAAATGAGATCTCAGGAAGGACTGTATGGTCTGGAGGAGGCAGATGGGAGCCAGGGCACCTGGGTCCTCACTTCAGGCAGGGATCGGACTGCAGTCCCCAGGGTGAGCCCTCCCAGCCCCGGGGGTCTGACCAGCTGAGC